TGGGGGACAGTGATAGTGACATCGGGGAGGACTGTCTTCCCTGATGTCACTATCACTGCCCTCCCCATGTCACTGAAGCTGTCCCCCCCATATGTCACTGACATTGCCCCCACCATGTCACTGACACTGTCCTCTCTATGTCACTGCCACTACCCCCCCCATGTCACTCACACTGTCCTCCCCATGTCACTGCCCCCCCCATTACTGCCACTGCCCCCCATGTCACTCACACTGCCCCCCCATGTCACCGCCACTGCCCCCCATGTTACTGCCCCCCCCCCATGTTACCGGCACTGCCCCTCCCCATGTCACCAACATTGCCAATCCCATGTCACAGAAACTGTTCCCCCCCACCCCCATGTCACTGACAATCCTGTGTCCCGCTGACAATCGTCCGCCACGTAATGGGTTAATTTAACTCAGCACATGTTCATCTGCAGTAGTTCGGTAATCGGCTGCTAGTGCCTTAAACCGGCACATGGGGCGTGGATGATGGTGGCAGCATCTGCGCCGACCGATTTTTTGGCAAACGCCTACCAACCGCTGCAAAATTCCCTACGCATAGGGCGTTTTTGGAGCGTTAAAAAAACTCTTCACAATTGCCTGTCTAATGCTTGTCAAATGCTAGAGGGGCGTTTGGCAAGAGTTAGAAATAAAGTCGACTGGAGTTTGCATGTTCTCCCTGTGCCTGCATGGGTTTCCTCTGGGTACTCCAGCTTCCTCCCACACTCCAAAGACATGCTGGTAGGTTAATTGGCTCCTGTCTAAATTGGTCCCTAGTATGTGTATGTATGAATGTGAGTTAGGGACCTTAGATTGTACGCCCCTTGAGGGTTAGCGACTGATGTGAATGTACAATATATATGTAAAGTGATGTGTAAATTGACGTCGATATAGAAGTACCTGAAATAAATAAATAAATGTGAATGAGCCCTAAAAGGCACTTATTGATTGTATAGACGAGGCGTCCTTAACAACAAATGCTCCGCCCTCTACAGTTGGCATCTCCTGGCTGCTGACGAGCTCCACTTTCGACAGGAAGCATGTGACCTCCACTCCACCATTTTTTTTTTAAATGAACTTTAATGTAACAAAGGACAAATGGCAGCAGACGAGCTCCACTTCCTCGAGTTTTGTCGTTGTTTGTTACTTCAAAGTCATTTTTTTTAATTGGAGTGGAGGTCACGTTTCCTGTCTAGTGGAGCTCCTGTCTTCAGCCATTAGTCGTTTGTTACATTAAAGTTCATTTTTTTAAAAAAGTGGAGTGCAGGTCACATGTTTCCTGTCGAAAGTGGAGCTCCAGTCTGCAGCCAGATCCCCCCGCCCCCCTTCTTGCTCAGGATTGCTGTCACATGACTGACAGGTGAGTCGGAGATGACAGCTTCTACTGAAGTTGGCTACAGTACAGTGTAGGAGGAGAGACTCACCGAGCTGGGCAGATCAGGGAGCCGCCCTACCATGCCTTGCCCTGGCATGAGCTGGCACCGAAGTCTGTCTCATGGTGACTTGCAGAGTGTCAGCCCTGTGATCTCTGAGTACACACATTGTCCTGAACCACCCCTGGGGAGTACACTGTACACTGCTCTGTAGGTTATTACTGCTGAATCATGCTGAGCAAGGGGAAGCTGAGAGGTTAAGAAGGCTGGAGAGCCTGTGCAGTGTCATCATCCCCTGCATCGTCCCAGCACATACACACACAGGTAAGTGTGTCTGCTATAGGTGAGATCATTCCATGGCAAGCTTCTTCCTTCATTTTTACTGCGTTTGTACATTGGGGGGCTAAATACTTTTTTTATGCCTTTTCGGGTAAGTTTATTTTTAGCCAACTTAGCCTTTTCACTGCTGGAGCCAGTTTTGCATTTCTTTTTTGCACACCATAAAAACAATCATTTTAGGTCTGAAGATTAGTTCCCCCCCCCCCCCCCCCATGTTATATATTTGGAGAGCAGAGACCCTGGAGAAATAAATAGTGTTAGTTCCTGTGTTATCAAATGCAAAATTGTAGTAAAAAATACACAAAGTAATTTTAGTGCACAAAAATGCAATATATTACCTACTTTGGTCAAATATAAAATATGAGGTTGCAGCAGGTAAATAGATACCCAGCATGTCAAGCTTTACATTTGTTGGCTACCTGCAAAACGATGGACTTCAGTACCTTATATTTTTCATAGGGGGCACTTTAAAAGTCATCAGTTTTGAGTTTACTGAGAATAATGGCCCAAAAATCTAGAAACCCGGAATTGCTATCATTTTGGTGTGCGCAGTGTTATGTAACGTAGCACAAGCTACGTTTTTGTACATAAGTGCCCCCCTTGGGGGGGGGGGGGGGGTAGGTGCTTGGGTGTAACATGTTTCTTTCCATTAGAAGTTGTGCGGATGTTGGATCAAGACATTGATTAATGGGTCCCTTAGGTCTGTTTCAAACGCAAACCAATGCATTATGCTTTTTGTCCATTTTGCAGTGCGTTTTTGCTGCGTGTATACCACAATTTGCAGGGGGGGGGTTCTGGGTTTTTTTCTTAAAGGGGAAATTTTTTTTGTTGCTGGGTAGAATAAAAACGCAAAATGCGGCAAAAACGCAGTACATGCTTTTCAGCAGCTTCTCCTTTGAACTCTATTGTAGCAAAAACAACTACTTTTTGCATTTAAAAAAGCCCCTGACCTTCAGCAGCTCAAAAAGCATAGATGTGACTATGTCCCATAGGAAACCATGTTGAATGGACTGTAGTGCGTGTCAGCAAAAAGCACTGAAAAACGCATTGGTGTGAACCAGGCCTGAGTCCATGCTATGTATGTATATAGTGGTATTGTTACTCTAGCAGGCTGTCAAATATGTACAGTATATATATATTTACTTCTATATCTCTGCATGACTAGTATAGGGGACATTAATAATGTATGACAATCATAAAGGCCGTTGTTGTGAATACAGTTCACTATGTTATGTGCAGAATTTGTATATATCTGTAGATAGGCATTAAATCAGAACTCCATCCTCCCCCTCAACTGCCAAACTCCCACACTTGGCACTGTTTTTGGCTTTGACAGGTACCCGCACCCACTTCCAGCTGAGTTTGGCGCTCTCCAACGAACCTCCTCCTCCATATAGTGTTTTATCCTTCTAAAATATTTATTGCTAAAACAATTCCTGTATTCCACTCACATATGATGTAATTAAGTGCGCTACATAAAGTAACTCCAATCGGGTTCAGTTCTGTTCGTACAGATCTTCCAACCACTTGTATGCAGCCAGCTGTATTATACTCTCCTTTCCTTGAGCGCATACTGGGCCACCTCCAGCCAGTGGTACATCCTTGACATCCAGTAGCCTATGGATATGATTACTTGTATGTGTTTAGTTACAGCCTAAACATGTGTTGCTTGACCAGGGTGGGGACAGCCTCCTTGCTGCAGTGCTTCTTCTTGATCTGTATGCCTTTCACTTATGATGTTTGGCTTTTGTGTTCACCTATGGACATAGGATGCGCTTAATTACATCATACATGTGAGTGGAATGCTGGAATTGATTTAAAAAATGTTTTAGAACAGGGGTGTCAAACTCCATTTCATTGCGGGCCGTATCAGCATTATGGTTGCCCTCAAAGGGCCAGTTGTATCTGTAAGACTAGATGTCCAGAGCACCTCACCCCCCCCCCCCCCCCCCATTACATCAGATGTCAAGAATCCCACACCCTCCCTAACATCTCCTTCCTCCCCCTTTGCGGACAGAGGTGGAAAGCAGAAAGTGCAGGGTCTGGAGGAGGACCAGAGGAGGAGAGGAATCAGTTACCAGAGTCTGCTGAATGCTGCGACCAGGAGAGGCAGAGATGAGAGGATGCTGCAGCTGCACTGAGAGGTGCAGGATTTGGCAGATGAATTCTATTCTCCTCTCTGCTACCAACTGCAGAGACAAGATGGGGGGTGGAGACCTGCATTAGAGGTGCAAGGGCCACATGAAATGGCCTGGAGAGCTGGATTCGGCCCGCGGGCCTTGTGTTTGACACCTGTGTTTTAGAAGGATAAAGCACCACATTCTGGTTCTCTCTTTTTGGTGCACATTTTATAGAGGAGGAAAGCTAAGAAAGTGGAGGAGATTTCTGCCTATTGGAAACAAGGGGGTTTATTTACTAAACCTGGTTGACTCAGAATCTTGGGCACCTGTGCATGGTAGCCAATCAGCTTCTAACCTCAGCATGTTCAGTTAAGCTTCAGCAATAAAACCTGGAAGCTGATTGGTTTTTATGCAGAAGTGGACAAGATTCTGAGTCAACCAGGTTTAGTAAATAAACCCCAAGATATCAGTCCATATATATGGGACAAATGCCATTTATGACCTCACTTAGCGGCTTGGTCATATATATATCAGGTGAGAGCACATCCGGTGGAGGTGATCACGCACGTTCATTGTTTTGCAGTATATAGAAGCACTATGGGATTAAAGCATCTGTGAAGATATACAACAATAGGACTATTTCTATTATCAGATGGACATATTTTACAAATAGATGTCCATGTCACTTGTCAGAGTTGGTTTATGTGGTTACAAATATAGGTGAAGCACGGTACTGGATTGCTATTCATGATTTGCATATTAGAGCACACCGGGTGCTTCCGGAGGCATGAAAGTGTACACATGGGCATCTCTGGGTCCTTCTTATTAACACATAAGTAGGTTAGCAGCTGTATATTTACATCATTATTTACATAAAGTTTACTTTTAATTCCTCTTCTTGAAAAGATCTCTGGCATGCTCAGTGGAATGTATTCATCATGTTCTCAGAATGTTTTTCTTTTTCATTTGGTTATCAAAACAAATATAGTAATTGGAATATCCTGCCCTATAGTTCATGCTTATAAGAACAGCCTGCATTTTGCTTTTGTGGAGGCTTTTTGGAAGCACAGCTCTGAATTCTCCATCTGTAACTGTTGACACGTGTTACAGACCCCACTACTCCAGCCAGGATCCTGACGTGTGTGTGCTCTCTCGGGTCGGAAGGATGGCTTGTCGAAATGTGATGAAGACTGTCCTGAGCGTGGAGCAGTCAGAGGGAGTTGGTGCCCGAGTACGTAGGAGTATTGGTAGATGTGAGGTATGAGATTTACATTTTTATAAAATACATGGATAAATAAGAAAACACTGTCCATTTCCATCCGACTGTCATCCGATCCGCCAGACGGATGAGGAACAGAGCCCCATCCGTCTGTTTTTAACGTACTGAATCGGATCAGATGCCGGCGGGTGTCCGCTGACACACACTGCTCCATAGAGTGCTATGGATGGTCTGATCCGAACCGCCTGAAAAGCTGAAAGGCGGACCCAATTGGACCGTCGGTTTCCTTCAGGGAAACTAAGGCCCGTTCACACTATCAAATTATCTTAACTATTTAACCCCTGATTATCCTCTTCTTATCCTTCTCTAGTCCTAATTGGCTACCTTCTCTCTGTGCTTTCTGAATGTAAAAAGAAAATGTCACAAATTTAATGTTTTTTGTATTTTTTTTTCCCATAGTGTTGGCAATGAAGAAAGCTCCTTCATTTAATTTATAAATAACTTTGTCACATTTATAATTAGTATGTTCATATCTGCAAAAACATTGGGCCAGTGGATAAAATGTGAAAATGGCTCCAGAACATCATTAGTTAAGCGTTTCCTCCCATCCTCTCCTTAAATGTCCTCTGTGTTACCTTTAGCAATTGTTTTAAAGTTGGCTACATGGAATCCTGTGCCAGCTGCCATGCCATAACTTGATTTTGTTTTGTTGTGGATTAACAAAACAAATTTATAGGAAAGATGGATCACATCCAAGAAAATGATGAAAAGGATTTTCCATGGTAAAGGAAACCTGTAGTTAGAGAAGCTTGCCATTGTTGACCTCCAATTAGTTGCCTGCCTGTTTCTGGCCTCAGAGCTTTTTGAGTCTCTGACCTGGAATAGGTGTGTCTCCATCCTTTGTTGTATCTCAGTACTGTTGGCTTCCTGCCATCTGTTTGCATTCATTTCTTGTCTTCATGCGCACAGTCCAGTGATGATTGCAAAATGGGCCATGCCAGCGTAATTGAAATGGTCACTTGGAATTTTGTGTGACAGGGTGACAACATAGGAGCAAAACTGTGAGACAGGGCATTGTCACCCTAAAATAGGAAGTTCCTAAGCAAGGATCTTCATGGCAGGATCATCAGATGTAGTTTTAATGAAAGATGCAGATTAAAAAATATTTAAAGCCCAACTCTGGGCAGATAAGAAAATGATCCTTTGCATTGGGGCTCTGCTTGCACTGCGAGTTTTAATAGCACGTTTTGTCTAGGGGAGAGGAGAAACTGTTTATTTACCTGATCCTCCACTTCCATGGTGCTCCCCCACGATCCAAAGTTGGACTGTCGCTTGACATCTTCATATCCAGAGCAGGACTATGGACACTGCATTGGTCTTGACGATGTCAAGAACGTAGAGCATGGGGGCATGGAAGCTGCGGGGACTGGTCTAGCTGAGGATCAGATAAGTATATTTCCTTTTATTATAACAAAACAATATGCAGCGCTAAGGTATATGAAAAGTGAATGAAAACCAATAATAAATATGATAATAGCCAACAATGTGAGACGCTACAGAGCGCCAAATGACACAATCAAGTGGATATAACGTCCAAATATGACGTATAAAGTGCTCAAGGTGATGAAGTAAAATATAATTGAGTCCAAACAGCAACTGCCTTAAGGTGCAAATCCGTGATTCCTGTGATATAAAAAAGGACGTATATTGCACTAACCAGAAAGCGCAATAAATTTTGCATTGGACTAATTCAAAAACCCACTCCTGGTCATCTGGATCTGGACAGCAGGACTCTGGGGGTCATCTGGCAAACCTCAGCATGTCAGGCAACACTCAGCATACATCTCCAGGGACATGACATCCATCCAGCAGGGGGGGAAACGCTCACATAGGTGCAGTAAATACCAGGAACTTAACCGGGGGGGGGGGGGGGGGGGCTCATGAAAAAACGAGCCAGAACGTTCTTCCAATAGTGCAGTATTTTAATTGAATATGGGTCAAAGGCATAAATATAAATGTGTGCACTCACATCTGGCATTGAAACCGAATCCATGATGGCTGCCGTCCTTCCACGAGGGGCGTGCGGCGTGACGTCACCAACGTAGGGCACCTCCCTCTTTAGCAATATTTCCTTTTATTGTTCCCCTAGACATAAACAAACAATTTACCCTTGCAGTGCAGGCACAGCCCCACTGCAAGGGATAATTTTTTTATTTGCCCATAGTTGGGCTTTAAAAATAGTTTAAGGGTCAGTTCACACCACAAAAACGCACTCCAGATAAATTACATTAACATGTTGAGGGCTTCTTTACATAGGTGTTGCATTAGAAGGCAATTTATTGTCCCCAAACTTCACCACTGAACTGTGAATGTGACAGTTCATTCAGCTCTATCAGCAGCACAGTATGATGCTATGGATTACATCACATCTTGCTGCACTTTTTTTTTTTTTTTCTTTTCTTTTTAAAGTAGGTCTATTAGCAATATCCCCCAATGGATAAGTTCCACACACGACCTCCACCACCCCTTCCTATGTTTTTCATGCCTATAAATTAAAGGGAAGACAGAAATGCATTCACAGTGTAAAACTATTTATTAAAAGCTTCCATATGAAACATAAAAAGGGCCAACTCGCATTACTTTGTGCATCACCCCTGCACCAGGAAAGAAGCTCTTGTTTTTTTTAGATAGCTGGCTCCCCAATTGCCTAGTGCGAGCGCTACTTCCATGTGTATTCACAGAAAATGCAATATAGTTTGTCTGATTAAGCAGCCGTAAGTAGTTAGCACTTCCACCTGGCAGCACTAGGGTCTTCGGTTCAAATCCCAACCACGACAGTACCTGCCTGGAGTTTGCATGTTCTCCCTGTGCCTGTGTGGGCTTCCTCCAGGTACTCTGGTTTCCTCTCACACTCCAAAGACATGCTAGTAGGTTAATTGGCTCCTGTCTAAACTGGCTCTAGTATGTATATGCATGAATGTGAGTTGAGGACCTTAGATTTTAAGCTCCTTGAGTGCAAAGACTAATGTGAGTGTACAATATATATGTAAGCTCTGTGCAAATTGTCCATGCTATACAAGTACCTGTAATTAATAACTATTATTTTTTTTAAATTGTAGGAGATTTCTTTTTATGTTGATCGGTATATGTAATTTTTTTTTTCTTTTTCCTTTTTTTTTTATTTAGCTTAGAAATTTGGATCCATTTCTGATGTTTGATGAATTTAAAGGTGGCAGACCCGGGGGCTTTCCAGATCACCCTCACCGAGGATTTGAGACGGTAAGAACTGCCTGTGGCACTGTGATAGTTGAGGAATCCAAAAATAGTCATTCAATTGTTTATTTTTTTTTTTTAAATTGGAAGTTAAGGTAAAAAGTATTCATTGTACCTTGAGTGAATGGCTAGAAGGGGCACCTTTTAATCAGATATACCTGTGGTTTGTGGGGGTTATTTAGGTTACTTACAATGAGACTATGTTCAGTGCTTTGATTACACGTTAAATATTTCTTCACTTGCTCACAGAAATACAAATAGGGATTTGCTTGCAGAGATGATTCATATCCATTATGGCCCAATTAGTAATGTTATCCCTTCTTAATGTCAGATACACAGTTCAGTCATCCATGGGTTTGTTTGTGGCAATGTTATGTTGCTATTATATGATGTACTTTTTTAGCCACTTCAAGTCTGGACACTTTCACCCCCTTCCAGTTCAGGCCAATTTTCTACTTTCAGTGCTATCACACTTGACAATTGTGCAGTCATGCAACACTGTACAACACATGCAACACTGTACCCATATGATTTTTTTAGCATTTTTTTTTAGACAGATACAACTTTATTTTGGTGGTATTTATTCACCACTGGGATTTTTATTTTTTTGCTATATAAATAAAAAACGTGTTTTTCTTATAACATTTTGCAAATAAATAATCTTTCTTCATAAATCTTGGCCAAAATGTATTCATCTATCTTTTTAGTACAAAGAAAAATAACCCAAATTAGTTTATAACTAAAAATGTTGTTATAATTTTTAAAAAACAAATTTAAAATTTTTATTTTTATTTTTTTTTTTTTTTTTTAACATACTGTCACCCTAGCAGTACAGTGTCACCATAGTGACACTATACTACTTGTGGGGGGTGATGAAGATTTTTTTATTTTTTTTATTTTATTTATTTTTTTACACTGATTGCTTTTACACCCATAAAGGCTGTAAAAAACAATCATTTCTCCTTCTCTCTGGGTGCATTCCTACAGCCGTTGAGAAATACTGTGAGAGCTGTGGTTGGTCACAGCTTGTCACATGGTACAAAGCTGTTGTGAATAGCCTTGTACCATGTGACCTCGGTGATCATTCACAGATTTCACAAGTAGTAAGCAATGATGTCAGGAAGTGACATCTTTTTTACTACTATTCATGTGATCATTGATTGGCCAATCAGTGATCACATGATCGGGACCTCACACAGAGGTCCTGTACAGCGATCGATGTTCCACTGTGTCGTCTGGACACAGTTGGCACCGATCGCGGTGCCACATGCTCCCAGGGAGCGCGCTCAGGCAATGAATGCGGGGGGGACGTTTAGAAACGTCCACCTGCATCGGCAGTGCTCCCATCTGGCCATTTATTTACATGGGCCGGACGGGAAAGTGGTTAAATAAAACAAAAGTAATTTATATATGTTTTCTTGGTCTTTTCTAAGCACTATACAATCCTGCTGGATTGGATAAAATAGGGAACACTTAGAAACTTTAATAGTCCCATGCCAAAGCTACAGTCAACAGCAGAGGCTCTGGCATTGGCCTATTAAAAGAGAAATATACACACTCACCTACATGGCATTGCTCCGAGGCTGCAGCTGTCTACCCACCCACCCATCTTCCTGCTCTACCTCAAGAACTGAGCAGCAATAGAAGACCGCTGATCGCTTAGTTCTTGGTCTTCAGTGAGTCAGTGACTGTCAGTCTTGGAGTCCGAGCTCAATAGAGTATAAGGCTGTGGAGGGAGCGGGAGTGGCTAGTTCAAGCTCTCGGTGGTGTGCTGAGAGGCAGAGCCAGCTAAAACACAGGCATCTGGTCAAAACCCAACAAGAAGTCCCTGCAGAACCTGGACCATTTTTGTGACGTCAGCTAAAGCCTGCTGTCGGTTGAGTGTTGGACCCTGGGAACTAAGTGCACTCCTGTGATCCCCAGGAGACGTATGGCCAAAAATGCTTTGGCAATACCACTCCTTTAAATGTTAGGGAAGAGCTTGCCTCCAGGAGAGGACAGAGCACGAGTAGCAGTTAAGGTCCTATGTACAGGGTTTACCCAGCAACTCCCCAGACCCACAGAAATAGATTTAAGGAGTAAATTTACCCTTTCCCAAAAAATTATAAATGCACACTTTTTTTTTTTTTTGCGTGTAAATGTGCATTTTAGAATTTTATTTTTTTTTTTTACATTGCAGCCCGTAAGGCATTGCACTCACGATCAGCAGACTGTAGGTGCAATGCCTGTATCCTGTAGACATTCAGTACACTGTCTGCCCATACCTCGTATGGGCAGGCAGTTACTGAATGGCAGGAAGAATTGGACTAAAAGTGCTCACCAGTGCCCTCAAACTTCATTGAGAACTACATGCCGTCGGCCGAATAGGCCTGCGGTAGATGTAGTTCATTCGTTCACAGAACTCTGTGAATGAATGGTGTAACTATGTGGGCGGAGCTATTTTAACTTGTGACATCGGATGCGGGGAGAAGATCCCCCTCCCACTGCCACAGGGAGGGAGAATGTGGGGGGGGGGAGTGGAGGAGGAGGCAGTTGCTGGAACATATTACATGTTCCTCCCTAAATGTGGGTGGAACATGTAACATGTTCCAAAGGTCAATGCATCCTTTTAAGAAAGGTGATTGTAGTCCCCACTGTTTATCAGCATATTCAGACTAGATCAGCCATTCTTATCTATGGTTCCTACAGTGGTTGCTTGGTGTTTCTTCAGCTGTGGCTGATTGACCTCTCATCTGATACCTGCCTAGTTCCATGTCCAACAACACTTGGCAGATCCAGTAGCATGGCACCAATTACCTTGGGAGTGGCATCTTGACCACTACTGCAAGCTGTGCATTCCACCCACTGACCCACAATCATTTTAGCAAGGGTTCCTTGAGACCTAAAAATTATTTCAAGGGTTCCTCTGGGGTAAAAAGGTTGAAAAAGGCTGGTCTAGACACATTGTGAGACATGGCAGCTTATTTCAAAGTGTTAATTCACACAAACTGATATTTTAAATGATACATTCATTTTTCTACGTAAGCAAAAATGTTCATACAGAACAGGTTTGTTTGTTTGTTTGTTTTTTTTTTTTGTTGTTGTTTTTGGTACTATCCCATTTAATGGTGAATGGAAACTGGTGTATTAGGATACTTGTTGTTGGCTAGTAAAAGCTTATATTAAAGTGATTTTGTAAACACTCAGATTTTTTTTTTTTTTTATTAAAATAACAAACGTCATACTTACCTGCTCTGTGCAGCCCCAATCCTCCTCTTCCTGGGTCCCCTGCCCATGTGCTATGAAGGCACTTTTGTGAGTTTGCTCTCGAACTGTGCCCTATGTGTCTATTGACAAACGGAGATGGCTCAGTTCAGCCTTGCCTCTGCTCCATTTTCACCTTTCTCTTGCTTGGCTGTGATTGACAGCAGCAGGAGCCAATGTCTATGAGGCTATGAGGAGGCAGAGAGCCTGGAGAGCCGCTGCACTTGCGCACATTGCTTGATCGAGATTGGGCTCAGGTAAGTATAAGGCCGGGGGGGGGGTTTAGCTGGACAAGGAAGGCTTTTTACCACAAAGCAGGAAATATATTAAGATAAAAAAAACCTTCTGCCTTTAGAACCACTTTAACTGTTAACCTGGGTATGCAGAAAATTCCCTGGCGTGTTTATAAATTCAACAACTATGCAATTCCCTAATCAAAAACAGGTTTTCTGTTGTTGGAGCCCAAGCTTGTAATGCTTCAGTATCGAACACACCCTCAGTCTGTTTACATTGGAAACATTAATTAAAACCTGCTGTATTAGCATTCTTTTTTAAAACCGTATTACTGCAGACCTATCATTAAAATTCACTCTTTATATAAATTATAGATCACTATTACCAAATCATTTAAAGCTTATTTAAACCCATGAACAAGAAACAATTAGTCTCACAATACCCTATGCCACTTACTGTATCCAACACAACAAACCCTTTTCTCCTGCGCTAGGAAATGACTCAGTAGACCCAATAGGAATGTTCTGGAATTTTCTGGAATATGCACTGCTTGCTGCACTCAACAGATCGGGGTGGTCCAAACACACTAGATGCAAATGGAGAAACAGAAAAAAGGCGCACCGACCTAGTGCATTATCGTTTAAAATATTTATTGAAGAAACAAAGTAAGTATCATACTTACAATAGACATAAAAACACAGGCATGTCAAACTGAACAAGATCTATGATCCAAACAACATCTGAGTCCATACGATGGAACCCTGGATGACCAACTGGTTAACGCGTTTCGAGGACACAACCTCTTCCTCAGATCCAACGCTATAGGAGTCTGCACTTCTCTTTATATAGGTTACTAAATGATATCAAAAGGGCAATATCAGAACCACCCGAAGGCGGAGCCTGACATCACATGACCCATTAGCATCCAAATTGAAAAAAAATTAAATAATAATTGTGAACTATATTAGGAAAACATATATATAAAAATAATAATGTATAATAAATGTGTAAACACTTACACTTATGGGAAGATCATTGGTGGTATATGATGAAAACAAAATAAATAAATGTAAGGGAAGGTGAATAGTATATGGGGCTGGCCAGCATGTGTGATCTACTGCCATGTAGCTGAATACTGATAGACTGTGGGATGAAATGAGATGAAGGTGGAATGTGGTGTTCATAGTGGTATAAAACATGTGGGGCTGGAGCGCACGCCAACATGTGCGATCCACTGCCACGTTGCTGGACTCTGACAAACAAACCAAGGTCAGCTGGACGTGGAGAAGCTCTCCTGTGTCCTGGCTGTCAGATTCAGTAAGGGCAGCCAATGGATTGCTGTCCTGAGATCACATGGGCCAGTTATCGAGGGAGGTGGGCGGATCCATGTACGGTCCACCTGCGCTCCGTCCAGGGCCAATGAGAGCCAGTCGTGAAGGCATTGGCTCTCGCCACATTCCACCATTATCTCGTTTCATCCCACAGTCTATCAGTATTCAGCTACATGGTAGTAGATCACACATGCTGGT